GGGGGGGGGGCGTGGTGTGCGGGGGGGGGAGGGGGCAGCCCTGGCCCAAAGGGTCGCTTGAGCTCCTGCAGGCCCGTTGCCGGTTCTGCGCGTGGGACGGGGCAGGCGGTCTTCAGCGAGGACGAGGCAGCCTTTGGGCTGGGCGCGGTGGCTTCTCTGGAGAGGGAGCCCCCCCCCCCGCTGGTCCCTCGGCCCTTCCTCTCTCACCCACACCCTCCTGCTGCGCCTGCGCCTTCCTCGGCTGAGCCGGTCGTGGTGGCTCTTAGCAGGAGGGGCGGCGGCTGCCCCAAAGTGGGAGGGGTTGGAGGAGGGAAGGGGCCGCCGCCCCCACCGGGTCAGATCACCACCGCGTTCTTCTCCCCGAGGAGCCAGTATGTCCTCATCTTCCCTTTGCCCTGCCGGAGAGGGGAGAACACGGTTGGCTGCAGGGCAGTGGAGCTCCTGACTCACACACACCCCCACCTGCCCCCATGCAGCAACCAGGGGCCCTTCCCTCTCATGGTCTGCCCTGCTGAGCTGCCCCCCCCGATTTCTTAAAGTGGACCATTGAGGAGGAGCAGTAGCAGCCCCTGGCCACATGTCCTTTTGCCTGCCCCCGAACTGGCCTGGCCTGGGTCTCGAGCGCTTCCCCTCCCCCTGCTCCCTGGTGAGCCCGGGGCGCTCACCTTCATCTCCACGTCTCCCCTCAGCTCCAGCTCAAAGCAGCCAAACTCATCCAGGATCTCCTTGGTGCTGGAGGACACGTGGATCTTCAGAGCTGCAACAGACGAGGAGGAGGAGGGTCAGCAGGACCAGGAGGGGGTGCACCCCCTGCCCGGCACTTTCCTGGAAGGTCCAGAGGAGGGAATCGGGGGCTGGCCAGGTTTCCAAAGAGAAGCCGAGGAAGCCCCCAGGGAGCTGCGTCTTTGGGATGGGGGGCGGGGTAGGGGGCAATGGCATCGGAGGGGAGGAAGCTTACCCTCGCCGTTGGACTCCATCCGTGATGCAGTGTTGACTGTGTCCCCAAAGAGGCAGTAGCGTGGCATCTTGAGGCCCACCACCCCAGCACACACGGGTCCTGCAGAACAAGGAATGGCGCTGGGGTCAAGGGGGGCTCACCCAGGCCATCGGCCGGCCCTGGGGGTGGGGGCAGCGGGGGCCAGGAGACCCCTCCTCACCCGAGTGGATGCCGATGCGGAGGTGCAGCTGCTCATTGGACCGGTGTCGGATGCGGAAGGTTTTGACCGCCTCGAGGAGGGCGAGGGCCATCCGGACGATCTCGTGGGCGTGCAGCTTGCCGTTCCGAACCGGCAGGCCCGAGACCACCATGTAGGCATCGCCAATCGTCTCCACCTGCGGGCAGAGGACCATGAGGCACCCACCCGGTCAGCTCAGGTGCTGCAGTCAGTGGCTCCTGTCTCCGGCCTGGGAGCTGAGCTGAGCTGAGCTGAGGGTGGGGGCTCCTTGCGCTCACCTTGTAGACGTCAAAGTTGTCAATGATGGCGTCGAAGCAGGTGTAGAGGTCGTTGAGAAGGGTCACTACCTGGAAGGGAAGGGAGGGAGGAACGGGGCTCAGGCGGGGCGCCCAGTGGATCAGCTAACCTCCACATGGCCCAGGCCAGGAGGGCCGTGCGCAGGAAAGAGGCTGCTGGGGAGAGGCACTCGGGGGAGGGGGCTTGTGTGGGGGGGAGGCAAAGGGATGGGGCATGAGACAGGGCTGACACAGAGGAGTGGATAAGCAAGCGCATGGAAGGCAGGTTTCAGCAAGAGGTGTGAGGGGGAGGGAAGCAGAGAGGGCCGAACGCTTCTCGGAGGACTCCTGATTCCTCCAGGGGTGGTCTGTGCTCAGCCAGGCCCCCAACCCCAGCGCCACCCACCTCTCCTCCGCATCGGCTGGAAGGGAGGGGGTGACTTTGCTGAGCGAGTGCCAGGCAGGGGGCCGCCACCGCCTGGCCTTTGGCCCAGAGGCCCTCTGGCATGCGGCCCCTTTCCTGCCTCCCCTTGAGGCCCAGAATGGCCGGACACCCCTGCCAGTCCCCTGCCTGGTGCTGCAGCGGAGCACAGGAGCGTTGCCTCGGTTGGCGTCGGGGGCCCCACAGGCAGAGGGAGGCTGCCCCCCCGCCCGGTGAGACGCCAGGTTGGATGCTGATGCCAGTACCCGGTGTGTTCCAAATCGAGGTCCTTCACGGTTCTGGCTTCTGCCTCAAAGTGGCCCGCTTTGAGACACTTAAAAGAAACATCTCTGTAACAATGAAATCTCCAGGGATCGATGGCCACGTGGACGGATCAAAGCTCAGAGCTGTTTAACCACAACGTTTCCCCACTTTTCAAACTGGAGGGAAAAGGCAGGGGGGCTCTGGAGCGGTTCCAGACCCAGGGGCTCTTCTCCAGGGCAACTTTGCCCTGCATTTATGGTTTAAGGGGTTTTTTTTGGGGGGGGGAGAGACCATATCCCCCCTCCCTCTCACTCCCCCTTAAAAAGTGGCCTATTTGTGCTCTTGATTTCCTCCTGACCATGAGGGCAGCCTGGCCTGACCTGTGGACCACCTCCCTCCAGCTGCTCACGGGCGTTGTGAACGACCCAAAGCAAGAGGGGAAAAACCCTTGGGCCTCCACCAGAGGCCGGGTGCCACGGAGGTGGGTGCCACGAGCTCACCAGGCAGAGCATTCACCTTTGGTGGAAACCAGGAAGAAGAGGAGGAGTGGACTTTCTCCACCAGGTGAGTGAGGACATAGAGATGGGGGTTAGGGGTGGGGTAACAGCCAGGTGGGGGGGCAGGTCAGGGTCAAGCTGGGCAGACGGGCTGAGCTCATCACAGGTGGGACATCCTCCTGGTGACCTCCCCTCCCCCAACTTCACGGGAGACTCTGGGCTCCGGCTCGCCACGGCTACCTCCATGGGGGTGCTCTCTGCGGACAAGGAGGTGAAGCCCACAATGTCACTGAAGTAGATGGTCACGCTGTCAAAGGCCTCGGCCTGGACCGTCTCTCCGCGCTTCAGCTGCTCAGCCACAGAACTGGGGGTGAGAAAGGTGGGGGGGGCACAAGTCCTCAGTGACCCGCCAACCCCCAGAGCCCCTGCTGCACCCCCAAGAGTCTCCGTGGGAAAAAACCTCCCTGCAGCCCCCCACCCCCCCACCCCTGGGAGGCAGGCCCAGCACTTAACTTGCTGGGTCAAGGTTGCCCCTTCCCCCAGGTGTGCCCCCCCTCGCCAGCCCCCCCCCCGAGGCTCCCAACTCACTGGGGGAGGATCTGGTACAGCAGGTTCTCCGCCTTGCGCTTCTCCTCCAGGTAGGCCTGCGTGCGCTCCTCCACCAGCTTCTCCAGGTTGTTGGCGTACTGCTCCATGCGCGACAGCAGGTTGTCCAGGATGCTGGTCCCACCTTCCCTGGGGGGCAGAGGAGAGGATAGGGGGGTGCTCTGGGGAGATGGCCACGGGATGAGGGAGGAGGGGGCCAGAGGCAGCGGGAGAAGGGCGAGAAAAGCCCCCCCCACACAAGGCAGGGGGTGGGGTTTCCTTTGACAGCAAAAAGAAAGGGCAGGAGGGCTCTCTACTCAGCAGGTGGGCGCATGAGACACCCACCCACCCCCGGACAAGTAAACCTGGGGAGGGGCACAAGAATCTGGGCAGCTGGGTCCACATGGAAGTGGTCTGGGAACCCTCCTTGTCCACCACCCAATTGTGGGGGGGAGGGGGAGGGGTGGGGAGAAAAGAGCCGGCAGGACCAGCCTGACCTGGCCGGGGAGCATGGCCACAGGCTGGTTCCACATGTCTCTGTGTTTCATGTCTCCGGCTGCAGATCCCTGTGCCTTTTGGCAAACCGCCTCCCCGTGTGACTGATGTGTCTGTCACGGGCGAGTCTCTCTCTGTGTGCACGCATGCTCACCCGTGCATGCGTGTGCAAGCCTGCTGGTCCTCTACTTGTGCTCTAGAAATCCCCTTCCTGAGGAAAAGGCAACTTTGGAGGGTGGGGTGTGGAGGGGGGGGTTCGTCGGATTGAGCAGCCCCCTCCTGTCCCATCTCCCCCTCCCTCCCCTCCCGACGTCCTCCAGCACCCACTTGTTGAAACGGCGGATGAAGATCTTAATCTGGGCGAAGTCTGGCCGCTCGGCGGGGTCCTGGGCCCAGCAGCGCTCCATCAGGACCGCCAGCTCCTCGCTGTGCAGGCGCATGTCAACGGTGGGTCGGAAGTATGGCCTCTGGCTGTTGCGCACCTTCTGCACAATCTCTGTGGGGGAGGCGGGTGTAGGGGGGGCACAGGCATGAATGCACAGACAGGTGGAATGGAGGCGCCGTGGCCTGGGGAGAGACCGTTACGGGGCGGGAGGGTGTGACTGGGCCACAGAGACAACGATGGCAATGAAAGCATGAGCTTCCCACGGGGGTGGTGGTGGTGGGTGGTGGTGGTGGAAGGAGATGCGGAGGGGCTGGGGAGACAGACAGAGAAGGCAAGCGAGCGTCACCAGGTCGCCAGCAGTGGCCGAAGCAGCGTCAGGAAGGGCTCCCGGGTTGTGCGGGGCTGCCGGCCAGCTCGGGACCACCACCACATCCGGAGCCTGTTTCTTCTCCTGAGGCACAAGCCAAAGACTCCGCTCCAGGCAGGGCAGCCCCCTCCCTCCGCACTCTCCCTGCCGGCCCCCAGCCCGTCTCCGGCAGAGGCAGGAGCCACGGCAGGATCTGGAGCGCAGCTTCGGGGGAAGAAGACAAAGGCTCTCAAAGCATGGAAGCAAAGACTGCCTTCGGGAGGCCGGGTGGCGACCAAACTCTGTGACTCCTCCCACAAAACAAAACAATGTGGGTGTCTCTCCCCGCCCCCCACAAACAGGTCCATTGCTGCATTACCTGTTGCAGGAGGGAGAACATTCCCCCCCCCCAAAAAAAAGACATGACCATGACCCCCTTTTCCCTAGCTTCTCTTCTCTGGCCTTGCTTTCAACCTCAAGCCAAAGCTAGTGGGAGATCCCCGGCATGCGCTGCAGCCCTCCAGAGCTAGGCCACCAGTGCGCGGCAATGCTGCAGCTCTACAGAACGGACACCCTCCAGGGCACGCCATCCGCATCCTCTGTCTCTTAAGAGTTGGGATTTACAGCAAGACGGCATGAAAGACAGTTGGAAAGGGCTGGTCAACTTTTAGCCAAGCAAGTGGGTACAGCTCCCATCGAGTTGGGAGGAGGGTCTTCGGAGGGCTTCCAGATTTTTTGGTTTTTTTAAAGGAACGAGGGACCCGTTACAGGCCAGCAGCTGTAACGGGAAAGGGTTGCAGCACAACAGCACAACGGAAGTGGCACCGTGAATACCCTTGAAGTCACAACATGGCTCCCAGCTGTGCTTACTTCACGGGGAGAGGACCGCCCCCCTGAGGGCAGGATGCGGCACCATTGCACAGCAAGCTACGTGCCTGTCGTGCACGGCCCCTGCTAAGTTTGGAGGGTTCTCACCCACTGCCTCCTAGATGGGCACCAAATGCCTTTCCAGGAGGCAGGCGGTGCCCCAACAGAGGGAGAGAGCAAAGTCCTTGGTCCATTCGGGTTTGATTTGGCCCCTGCGGAGGTGATGCAAAACTCCTGAGAGGTGACATCACCCCCACCACCCCCCAAGTCCTTGGGAGGAGGGGTCTAGACCTCCACTGGGGGTATTGGGGAGGGACCACCTGGGGGCAGACCATCTCTGCCGGGTGGGAAGCCCCCCTCTTCCTCGGGTCCGGTGCCTCGTGGGGCTTGTCTCTCCCCCTCCTCACCCTTGGGGCTGAGGTCCATGCCCTCAATGTAGAAGGCTCCATTGCGCAGGGCAATCTCCTGGAGGATGATTCCAAAGCTGTACACATCTGCTTTCTGCATGGCTAGGGGTGACAGAGCCAGGGCCCGCTTCTGCAGCAACTCAGGGGCTGTCCACAGCTTCTCTGGTTGGGGAGAAGGAAGATTGGGGGGGGGGG